GAACCACCAAAAGTCCCAGCTGGCTAAGGCACTCAAAGCCTGCACCTCCCTCAAAGGGCCTTATACTCCAATATTTCTCTGGCCCAGGACTACCATCCCATTAAAAAAAAAAAAAAAGGTATTCTTTTCCTAGGCTGATGGACTCGATTAGGGGAAGATTAGATGGTGGAGCACAACTAATTAATCAGGTGTAGGTGACCATCCCATTCCACTCTCATTTTCCCAAAGGTATCTGCATGAAGAAATTTACATTTTAAAAGAGATAATTAGCACAATTTTATATGAAAGAATTCCAAGCTATATAGGGCAATTCAGAGCAGCTGAGAAATTGTAGGGCTCACTACAAGACTGTTTCTAGGCCAGCTGCCAAGCCAGTCCCCTAGGGCAGAGTTTACAACCTGGAATATGGGTGGAAAGAGTGAAAAAAGGTGGTTAAGAACTTCCTAACTAAACTCCATGATGTCTGATGATCACTTTCTACCAAAAACTACCTTAACTGTGGTCATTAAAAATATTGGATTGTTAGAAAAGTCTTTTTTTTTTTAATGTAAAAATGTGTCATGACTTTTCTGACAACTCAATAGTTGTCTGCTCACAACTTTGGGGATGCTGACAGGAGGGAAAGATTTAAACAGAAGAAATTATAATTTATCCTCAGAATCCAAACTGATCCCCTGATCCTAGCTAAAGGACGCTTCTGAAACAGGCAGTCATACACAAGTATGACCCAATGATGTGCCCTATATAAAACCTGGGAGACTGTACAGTCCCCAAGATTCTGTGTTATTCATACCATTTTTTTTTTTTTTGAGAGAGGTTTTTGCTATAGGGCTCGTATGCTCACCAGAAGACAGAGACAGTGATACAGAAAGCGAGAAATCACCCCCCAGGGGGGATGCCCATGCCGCAATCCCTTCTCCTCCATTCTCCTCTCAGGACCTTGGGCAAGCACGCACATGCACCTGGCATGTGTTTAAACCACCAGGTCTGGGACTCGAACCGTGGTCAAATACATGGGAGTCCAGTGAAATAGCCATTACACCAACTGCTGGTCCCATTCATACCATGTTTTTACAAGAACATTACCACACATAAGCTCAGAGAATGAAATCCAAAGCCCTAACAGAGTCTCAATTGAAGCCCCTCTCTCAGGTCACAGAAGCCCACCGGATGACTTGCCCAGACCCATTCAGAAGCCCTAACATTTCCCTTTCAATCTGAAAATGGAAACCTAAACTCAGTTTACAGCTGATATGCCTCAGAGAAGGGAATACTTAAGATTCAATAGATTCAATATGATACCACTCATATAACCTGCAGAAAATTTTGATTTTTAAGTTATGTGGTTTGGAGCCAGCAAGGTGGCATGATGGTTAAGGCAGCTAGGTCCTACATGGCCAACTGTGTGGTCCAAGTCCTGAACCCAGCTGCTTAAAAAAACATGCTGGGTGCATGTGGGCACAAGCCCAAAAGTCCTGAGAGGACAATGGAGGAGAAAGGACTTCAGAGTGGAGTCCCCCTGGAGGAGGAGGTGGCCTTCTTACTCCCCACCCACTGGCAAGCATAGCACACACACCCTATAGCAACTTTTTATTTTTTTGAAGAATTACTTAATTTTTATTATTACTTTTTAAATTGCTACAGAGCACATGCACTCACCAGAGAGAGACATAAAGAGGGAAAGTGAGAAAGCAAGCTCCAGCTCCAGCTTCCCAACTGAACCATGGTCAGTCATGTGGGAGACAAGCACCTCAACCAAACCACCTGCTGCCTCGCCATAGCAAATTTTTTTAAAAAAGATTTTATTTTACTTTATTTAACTTACTTACTTATTTATACATACATACATACTAGAAAGGGATAGAGCGAGCAAGAGAAAGGGAGAAAGCAAGCTGCCAGGTCCGGGACTCGAACCCCAGTCAGCCATGTGGGAGCCCAGCATCCTTAACGATAATCTTAAAGAATGTTTTTGAATTATCTGCTTTGAAAAGTACTACAACCCATATACCAAAACATGAGGTTTGTCTTTATACAAAACACCAATAAAAGAAGAACGATTTTATTTTGGAAACTAGAAACTAAACCTGGCACTTGTACTTATTTTCTTCATATTTTGTAACTACCTTTAGTCACTTAATCTTATTAAAGAATTGGAATCAGAAAGACATCAATGTAAGAATGGCAATTTAGTAGACATCAGGGTGAAAAGGAGGAGGCTGAAAGAGAACATACTAGGCCAGCAGGTGGCATGGCAGTTAGGACTCTAGATTCCCATATGGTGGACCTTGGTTGAGTTCCAGACCTGGTGACTCGCGTTCTCACTTTCCCTCTCTGTCTCTCTCTGGTGAGCACATGTGCCCTATAGTAAATTATTAAAAAATTATATTGGGGAACCAGCAGTTAGCGTAATGGCTATGTCACTGGACTCCCACGTAGTTGACCATGGTTCGAGTCCCAGACCCGGTGGCTTAAACTCACGCCAGGCACGTGTGCGTGCATGCCCAAGATCCCGAGAGGAGAATGGAGGAGAAGGGATTGCAGCGTGGCCATCACACCTGGGAGGTGATTTCTCGCTTTCTGTCTCTCTGTCTCTGTCTGTTTGGCAAGCGC